CCCTGGCAGGAAAAAAAAAAAAAGACAATAATTATGATACTGATGATACAGATAAATTGCGTCAAGAGTTCGAAATGTGGATGAGCAAAACATTTCTTTCCTCTCAATTGGGTGTACACACGACTTGACGAAAGCCGACGACCAAAATCTGGGGAATACTTAGTGTGAGTTTTCCATGCCGAAATCGGATATCACAAATACAGCCTACACGTCTAGGGACGTAAGAAGAGATAAATCCACGTATTTGCTAATACTGGCCTTTAAATGTACGCTGGATTACTTGTTCCCTCAGCGGGCAGGTCGTTCGTGTAAAATCGATTTTTGTTGTTACTTATAGGCCGAGATACAGATTCATAAAAGCCGGCGTAGCGAATACTTTGAAAAACTGGTATTTTCAAACGCTTTTTTGTTCCACGTAAGGCCGAGGATATTATTGCTCCGTGTGAGATTAAAGAAATAAACGTAGATACACTGTAAGGTATGAAATTTTCCGAAAAAAAGAACACTTTATCTTACATTTGGCGGCAAAATGAACTTTTCCGAAAAGTTCGTGCTGAATTTCGAAACAAGTTGTTAAAGTTACGAGATAGGTTGTTGTTCATCGTGGTAGTTGGATGATAATATAAGTTTGTTCTGTTGTCTCACGACATGGTCACTTGATGTGGAACGCGACTTTTCGACCGCTCACTGCAAGTCTTCTTCACGTTGTGGCACGGCATTATATATCATGGTGGTCATGTACCATGGTTTCCTCAGGCGTTCGCTGGTTTTTCGTGCGTCGTTGGTTTAGATGTTTCCTTTTTGAAGGCATCCATGCTTCCGGTATTTCGGCTCCGCTGTCCCTGTTTATGTTATTTGGATTGAGTCTTATGTGAATTGCCTCCTTCACTTTCCTTGTGTACCAGTGGCTTTCTCGGGCAATGAGCCTGGTTTTGTTCCACACCGGCTTGTGTCCGGTTCCGTTAGCATGTTCTGAAACTGCGGAATTCTGAGTGCGTGCGAGTCGTATATTCCTGTCGTTCTCCTTCATTCTTTCTTGCATGGGTCGTCCTGTTTCCCCGATGTAGACTTTGCCGCATGTGCATGGTATCTTGTAGACTACGCAATCTTGCTTGTTTGGGTCAGCGGGGTCTTTTGGTCTTAGTGTGGTGTCGGATTTAAAGACGGTGCGTATTCCTTGTTGCTGTAGGTGGCGGCGGAGGGGTTCTGAGACTCCTTTGATGTATGGCAGCACTGCGGTAGACTTGAATTCTGTTGTTTCCCTTTCGGGTGTTAGATTCCTGGTTTTGGTCACCTTCTGTAAGAAGGACGGAGGGTAGCCGTTGGCGACGAGAACTGTGGATCTCCTGGGCTGTTCCGGATGGCTTGGTGATGATGCGTTTAGCTCGGCCATGTAAACACTTGACAATACCGCGTTTAACAGATTATGGGTGATGCGAATCATAGGCGAGGTACTGGTCGGTGTGGGTGGGTTTTCTGTATACACTTGTGACCAGTTTACCGTCTGGTTCCCTTGTTACGAGGGTGTCGAGGAAGGCGGCCTTGTTGTTATTCTCAGTTTCCATGGTGAAGCGGATGGACGGGTGTTGTTGGTTGAGGTGGCTCCGAAAGTTATCCGCGTTGTGCTGTTTCATGACGGTGAACGTGTCATCTACATGGCGCTTTCATTTTCTCGGTGGTTTTGGGGCTGTAGCTAAGGTTTGTTCTTCGAAGGCTTCCATGTATAGATCGGCAATTACGGCGGAAATCGGGCTGCCCATCGGTGCTCCATCTCGTTGCTCGTAGAGCGCTCCGTTGTACTTAAAGTATGTGGATCTCAGAACGAAATTTAGAAGGTCTGCAATCTGGGTAGGTGTGAGCGCTGTGCGGTCTGGTAGGCTCGGATCGTTGTTGAGTCCATGTAACGCGGCCTGTACTGTTTCTTCTATAGGAACGTTGGTGAACAGCGACTCGACGTCATCATTGGCATCTTGGAGTGGTAGCCGCTTCCGTGTCGAGGACTACAATCGCACAGCCTTTGTCTGCTGGTAGGATCATGATGGAATGGTCCTGTTTGAGACTTTTTAGCGCATTTCGCATTTCCGCTGTGATGTTAGGCTTGGGTGGTACGGCCTTTTGGAGTACGTTGTTCACGGTTCTTCGGACTGTGTCAGCTTGTTCCGTGTCTAGTGGTCTGATGGTTGTTTCTACCTTCGCGGTTATTTCTGTGGTCCTGATGTTGGTCGGCGTGACGGCGAAGTTTAGTCCTTTCTTGAGCAGGGTGGTTTCTGCGTCGCTGAGTGTTCTGGAAGACAGGTTAATGACCCAGTTTGTTTGGTCAACTTTGGGTGTCGAGGTTAACTTGCTGGCTGCTTTCTGTTCGAGGAGAAGTTTCTTGAATATTTGTTTCTGCCGCTCCTTAGGATGACAACCGGTCGAACCCATTGCCTGAAGAAGACTTTCAGTAAGCCGTCGAAACGTTGCGTTCCACATCAAGTGACCTTGTCGTGAGACAACAGAACAAACTTATATTATCAAGTTGTTAAAGGTTTTCTTTTCTTTTTGTTTTCGTGATGATGGAGATTTAAGACTTAAAAGAGAGGAAATTATCTTTTATTTTCAAAATCGATGCGGCCTATGGTTAAAGAGTAATAACTCAACTTTATGGCTCAAGGTGAGGCCTTACGACATTTAGACAACTCCTTTGACTGGTAAACATTGTCTCCAGTGTTAATATGTCGTAAAGCAATTTGCAATAGTATATTTCTTTTGTCAGAATCAAACAACTTTCACAATATTCAACTAAACTTACGTTTGGTTCCGTCGCTGTAATTTCTTGTTGGGCGATTGAGTTTGCTGCCATACCAGTGCTGGTTAAAGTCTTAAAAACACAGGAACCGGCCCCGGATCCAGATGGGCCCTGGGTACCATTGAACCCAGATGGTCCACGAAGGCCCTGAACACCAGGTAATCCTGATGATCCTGCAGGGCCCTGAGTACCATTATATCCCGGAGGTCCGGGAGGTCCGGGCAACTGCAATGATTCGCATTGTAACAATAACAATGATGGTCATGATGATCAGGATAACGGTGGTAGAAAAACTTAATAATAGCATCGTAAAAGAAGAGGAAAATGTCATTTAATTCTTACTTTTTCTTTTACCATAACATTTCAACTCAATGAATACATTGTTGACGTTTCGATAGCTTTTAAAACGTATTCTTTGGGTGTCTGGATCAAATTTTCTGGTTGGTTGTTGTGTTATAGAACTAGGATATCCCAGAAAAGTTTCATGGTATGAGGGAAGTTATATTTATTTATTTATTTATTTTAATTTGATTAACATTAATTCAAGAAAAATTTGTACAGAACTAATTTTACATTACTCTTCTTACATTACTCCCAGAAAAGTTTCATGGTTTGAGGTAAGTTATATTTATACTACCATGCGCTTTTTTACCATGTTAGGCTGGATTGGGGTAAATACGTTTTCCTTGCTTGTGTGTAGTTTTATCAAATCTCTCTTTCCTTGTTTCTTCAAATCGATACAAAATGAATCATGATTTGTCTCAATTTAAAATGGCGTCGTTTAAAATTTCTTAGAATTTGATTGGCAGTAATGTTATTGTACTAAGAGACCCAGAACTTTTAAACAACTTTATTCGAAACCTCCATAGTATGAATGAATTTTGTCGATAATACGACGTGCCTGTTTACCATCTTGATACATTAAGGTGCACTCGTTTTCCCTGTTCAAGCGCAGTTATGCAAAATTTCTCACTTCCGAATTTCTGGATCAGATTTTCCTGTTCAAGCGCAGATATGCAAAATCTCTCTCTCCCGCATTTCTTTAGATCAAAACAAAACTTAGAAATCGTAAGAAACTCTTAGTCTCTTAAGAATCTATATTAATAAAAGTGGTTTTAGTCTGCACTTGGGTTGAGTTTGAAATGCTTAAGATAAAGTTTGTTTTTTTCTAAATATTTCTTTAAACTTTTGTGTTAAGAAAAAAAAATTATTTGAAAAAACATTGTTTTGGACCCGACCCAGACTTTTTTTGCACCTTTCTTTTTAATTTTTTAAAATTATAGATATTACTATTACATCACTGTGGAGTGTCAACAATAGGGTTTTAACAATAAGGCGAGCGTCTACAACTTAAATGGCTTTTATTTCCCCTAAGGTAAATACACCATCCAGCGAAACTTGCGTGAAATTACAAAGTCTGGCCATCTGAGTTTTCAAAAATTCGAAAGGAAAATTCTATAAATCTTTTGAAATTAACAGTAAAATTTCTAAACTGAGAGTTTGGCATTATTGTTCGCACTGAATGCGTTTGGCTTGAAGTCGTCACCAGCACTTTACCACCGGCCACAGAACTTACGCAGGCGTTTTGTCCGAAATAAGCGCTTTTCTGGCGGCTGAGCTATCCTTTACCAAACCTTTTTTAGTTTTTATGCTTTGTACATTTTCAATAGCGTAAAAATACTTTGATTTCTTTCACGAACGCGGCAAAAAAGCGTCGCGAACATAGCAATGGCTTCTCGATTTTAATTGGCTGCTTTCATTTGTTTATTTCAGCGTGCAAAAACACACGAACCGACAAAGTGATAATATTTAAATTCTTAGCATCGTCTCGATAAGCTTTTGCTCGATCAAAAATTGACCACCACTATACTCGAGAAAAAGAAAGAGATCCGATCAGGCGGGTTGTGGCTTCACTAGAAGGACATGAGATATCATAGAACACAGAAGGAGGTAGTTTGTATCTCAAGCCAAGTCGACTGGACCGCCCTTACGAAGTCTTAAATACGTAAAAGTTTTTATCGATGATCAAAGGAAACATCGCTGACTCGGTCTTTTTTTCTCGGTGAATCATTGTTGGTTTCAGGAGATGATAACCACTAATCTAGTTTTAAGAGGCATTACAATACATCTGAGAGCTTTTGTATTTATTCGATCACTGCGATTAATGAAAAAACAAACAAAAAAACGAACACAAACACAAAATTGCTCTTACCGAATTTTTTTGTAGAGCCAAGAGGATCCTCTCCAACTCCTGAACCTTCTTTTCGATCTGCGACTTATCTGGCAGAGTAAATAGTTTAATACTTGTAAATGGAAAAAGAAGAAAAATGATTCAACGCAGAGGGTTTGATTTATTATATACCTGCATTTTATACAAATAAATCTCATGACTATTTGTCGAACATTTTCTTTGTTTCGCTTTCAATCCTCGCATGTTTGAGATAGCAACAAATAAGGCCATTGATCACAATCCCAAACATGTGATTTATCAATCCAAGAGTGATAGGTTTTTCAGTTACTTATTTTTCTCTTTTTGAATTGGCGTTTTGATTAAGAATAATTAATCTTTTTTTGCAGCAATATGCTTGATGTGCCACACTCGCGGATCGGAGTTGTGTGAGAGCAAACCAATTAACTGTTAAAGAAATATGTTTTTCAACGCTTAGTTGTCACAACTTAGCCTCATCTAAATATCAAATCATGCAGACATAATAGAATTACCCATGTTGTTCATGATTACGACTAAGTACCATGATAGACAGATTGCCCCTTGTAAGCAATGTCATTTTCTTAGACTTGAAATCCTATACTAATCATCAGTGCGGAGAAAGCTCTAGTAAACAAAGGTCAAGCATTTCAAACTTTGTACGAAATTCTTCAAGAAGTAATTTTTTAACTTGGAGATGAAAATTTTATGCGATAGTAGTTGGTTGATAAATTGGGCTTTTAACTAAAAAAAGAACGTGGCTTTTGTTGACCCAATTTCGTGGAATCTTAATAATAACAATACTCAAATCATATCGAAACGGAAATTTCGCTAATTTTCTCTTCGGACAGGATATTAAATGGTCGAGACCGAAGTAAAGTATTGTTTACTTTATCATGTCGTACGCGTTTGACTAATGCCACTTTTATAATTTCGATGAATCAAGACCTACGAGTGTTTACTTACAACAGGAAGGAGCAATGGTAGCCGTACCTGTCGAAGCCTCGCTCCGTGCCGTCATGATTGCCACAGCTAAAACCAAAGTGGCAAGGGCTGTTAAGAGCGAAGCAACAGCGATGGCAGATGGGATAAAGAATAATGGGTTATGCTTCACTGTATCAGAATCTTTATACGGCTGTGTTTCCACGTTTGGCTTTGCCTGTGGAGTGTCCTTTCTGAAAACTACATCGTCATAGGTTTCGGCGTTATCTTCCTGTTTAGATTCCATTTCGAAATAAATGTTCTCCCGCCCGTCATTGGGTGGTATGATTGTGCCGTTTATGAAACAGATCAACTTTAGACTCTTCTTGGGGCGAACGATGCTTAGGCAGACCAAAGAGATGCTCAAATGCTGATCATATGACCATCTCTGATTGATAGGATAATGGCAGGAAGTATTTGTTTCGACGTAAGTTTATATATTGTGCAATAAAAGATTGAACTGACCTTAAATGATAATGAAAGCATTATTGAACAAAATGATTATGCTGTCTTGATTTTGATCCAGGTTATCACTATCGACCCCACTTTCCAGTGTACAGTGAGATATTCAGGTAGAAGCAAATGAGGTATAGAGGGTTTGATGTTTTAGTCTTCGATGGGCTGAGGTCAAACCAAAATTAAATCTTCTTGCCTTTAATGATCCACTGGTTTCTTATAAGCCATCTTCGATTGCATTTCATGCTAAGGTAATTTGAGAGGTGGCATGGATCATTTTCCGAAATAACTACTTTTAATTTCACATTAATGCTATGAAGGCGTTGAGAAGGATGAGAAAGGAAATATATTTAGAAACTCTTCAAAAGCAAGATACTAGAGCCATTTTTTTAAACATTGTTTTCATAGTCCCATCAATCACACAAATCCTTACCTACATTTGTCGGAACTCTTTTTTTTCCTTTTTTTTTTTTTAGCACAATGCAATATTAGCCAATTTCAAATGCAGTCAATTGTTTTTGCTCTCAAATTAAGCATTATATGAATTTCTTAAGCCGGGCTACCCTATTTTTTTTTTGCGGATTGGAGGGGGGGAGGGGGGGGGTTGTGGAATTCGTGAAAAACCCACCTAATCCATTTCACTCGGTCGGAAGAAGGGAAGCCATTTTTACCACTTCATGAAGTTTCTCAGTCCTAGAGGGTTTCACGGAGCATTATGAAATGAACATCGTTCAAGACTGTCAGTTCCTCGAGTTCAATAGAGCACAACTGAAGTCCTTACTGTTGCCCTATTGTTAATTGATTACTTTATGAATTTGAATCATAGAAATAAAATGTCATCTTTGTTCGACTAAAAAACCAATGTTTTGTTCACTAAAGTGACTATGATTCCTAAGAAATGTGTGAGCCGTGTAAAATAATACGACCATTACATACTAGATGAAAAACATACACAAAAGTTAAGTTAAAATTTTATTTTTTCACATCAGGTTACCTTTAGGAGCCATATTTCCGACAGTTATAATATGTCAGTAGCTTAAGTCGCGGCGATTTTAGGTGTTATCCACTTGTGGTTGTTAGTACTCCGTTTTAACTTGATGTACTAACAAATACTCTTTCGTCCGTTTAGTACAAAATATAATGTGAAACAAAATATTTTTGGAAGCTATCCTAAGGGACTGAAGTCTATATTTAGCATTGATAAAAAACATAAGTGCTGATTTAAGTATATGAAAGCAACAGTTCGTAGTAAAACTGAGAGGTTTTCTGGGTAACATGGCCACTTACTTTCACACAACTTTCTTTCACTCTCATCCTTAACGCTGACTATCTCATCGAAACTCTTGTTTTACTTCCATATACTTTCATTTTTAAGTGATATTTTGATTTCTTATACTAAAAATTTGATGCAGCAAGGGACAACTTCTCGAAATCGATTTTACGCAAGAAATTGATCACGATTGAATAATGGATACATGGTATAACAAGGGCGTAGCTGGGGGATTTCCCTAGAGTTCTTAGGTACCCACGTCGCGTGTCGTCTGTTGCCCCCTCCCCCACCCTTTGTATGCGTTATTGTGTAAGGTTATAATAGGTAGAACGCGGCGTGAAGGTCGATATATGACAATCTGGTGAGTACCCTTTGTTTGACGCTGTGAGCCCTTTTTGAAAAACCTGGCTACGCCCCTGTTTAAAGATGGAAAAAGTCTGTACGGGAAAAGACTCAAGATAATTCTTTGCGGTATTGACCAAGTGGTAAGAAGGTAAATAAAGCTAGGGCAAAAAGAACGGGCGCGAAAGGTAGTTGGGCGATCGGGTTTGCTGCCGTACCAGTGCTGGTTAAAGTCTTAAAAACACAGGAACTGGCCCCGGGTCCAGGTTGACCCTAGGTACCATTGAACCCAGATGGTTCACGAAGACCCTGAACACCAGGTTTTGCACAGTGACAGTGACAGTGACAGTGACAGTGACAGTGACAGTGACAGTGACAGTGACAGTGACAGTGACAGTGACAGTGACAGTGACCGTGAAAGTGAAAGTGAAAATGAAAGTGAAAGTGAGAGGTCAGTCAGAGGTTGATTCGAAATTCGGTACGAAATGGCACACAAAAATACATTCAAGTATTTGTACCTTTTGATCCAGTTGCATGATTCTTTGTTGAAAATGCAGAAACCTCTCATTTACGCTTGTATTCAGACCCTGTATTACGAGACGGATATCCTCTACCTCTGTATTTTTGCCCTAAAAAAATAAAACGGGCCAAATTATTGTGTTAGAGAATTAGTGGAATTAATGCAGAGAGGTTCCTCTCCAACTCCTGCATATTCTTTTGAAGTTCTGACGTTTCTAGAAAAGGGGAGACAATAAGAGAAACATAGAAAATGTAAAAAAAATTAATTGAATCAAAATAGTGTAACAATTTTGAAATAAAAAAAGTATCATCAGCTTTCGAAAATTCTCATTTAAAAAAATATCTTGGACTATTGATTAAATGCTGCATTCAGCAAATTTCTGAGGCATACAATTGAAGAAACTAGAGTAATTGAAGCTGATCGATTGTGGAATGTGTACGGACACGTTTCGGCCGGTTAATCACCACATTTTCCTTCACTTTCGAAGTATGTTACTATTTCAGTCAAAGTGACAATTGGCGGCAATATAATAAGCTGAGGCTGGGTTTTAACGTAGGAACATATTCGGAGATATTTTCACTGATCTAACCCTTATGTTGGCCTTTTTTTATGATCCAGGCCTGTTTGTAAGTGGATACTGTAAAGGATATCGACAACTCAAAGCGAGTAAATCACCCCGCGTAGACTAATCTATTTCACAAATACAAAGCGGCAATGTCTGAATTATACTTTCTATTAGCACTAATTATATATTTTGTTCAAATAGGAACGATGATGGTGAGGTTCTCTCTACGCAGGCGGAGATGGCGATAATTTTGATCACAGGGTGATGTGAATGGGAAGATGGTTGATCCTCGCTCGAAAAAGAATGTCTAGGCTGGCACCCTCTCTGCTTTGCCGTTGCTAGCGTTTCTTCTTGTCCCCCTCCACACCTCCTTTCTTTTTTTTTTTTTTTTTTTTTTTTTTTTCCCACACTACACATTTTGTGTTAAGATTACATTTCTCAGCTTAATGAAGTCTTTGCCCACGTTAAAGACGGGCCGGGAGAGATTAAGCTAGAATGGATTTAACATGCGCAAACCTTAAGTCATAACCCTTTGTTTTTCTTGTGTGATATTTCAAAACAAATAAATCTCGTGACTATTTGTCGAACATTTTCTTTGTTTCGCTTTCATCCCTCGCGTGTTTGAAATAGCAATAAATATTGCCATTGCTTACAATCCCATACATGTGATTTATCAATCTAAGAGAGATGGGGTTTTCAGTTATTTATTTTTCTCTTTTTAAACTGGCGTTTCGATCAAGAATAATTAAATGTGTTTTTAAAGCAATATGCTTGATGTGCCACACTCGTGGATCCTAGTTGTATGTGAGCAAACGAATTTACTGTTAAAGAGATATGTTTTTCAACGCTCAGTTGTCACAACTTAGCCTCATCTAAATATCAAATCATGCAGACATAATGGAATTGCCCATGTTGTTCATGATTACGACTAAGAACCATAGACGGATTGCCCCTTGTAGGCAATGTCATTTTCTTAGACTTGAAATCCTTTACTAATCATCAGAAAGCTCTAGTAAATAAAAGTCAAATATTTCAAACTCTGTACGAAATTCTTCAAGAAGTAATTTTTTAATTGGAGATGAAAATTTTATGTGAAAGTAGTTGGTTGATAAATTGGGCTTTTAACTAAAAAAAGAACGTGGACCCAATTGACGCAATTTTGTGGAATCTTTATAATAAAGATATTCGAATCATATCAAAACATAAGTTCCGCTAATTTTCTCTTCGGACAGGATATTAAATGGTCGAGACCGAAGTAAACTATTGTTTGCTTTATCGTACGCGTTTGACTAATGCCATTTTTAAAATTTCGATGAATCAAGACCTACGAGTGTTTACTTACAACAGGAAGGAGCAATGGCAACCATACCTGTTATAACCTCGCTCCGTGCCGTCACGATTGCCACAGCTAAAATCAAAGTGGCAAGGGCTGTTAAGAGCCAAGCAACAGCGATAACAGATGCGATTAAGAATAATGGGTTATGCTTCACTGTATCAGAATCTTTATACGGCTGTGTTTCCACGTTTGGTTTTGCCTGTGGAGTGCCCTTTCTGAAAACTACACTGTCATAGGTTACGGCGTTATGTTCCTGTTTAGATTCCATTTCGAAATAAACGTTCTCCCGCCCGACCTCGATCTTAGTATCCATCATTGGTATGATGGTGGTATGATTGTGCCGTTTGTGAATCATATCAACTTTAGACTCTTCTTGGGGCGAAACATGCTTAGGCAGACCAAAGGGATGCTGAAATGCGATGCGATAGGATCATATGATCATCTCTGATTGATGAGAATAGGAAAGGAGAAGGAATGGAATTTGTTTCAACGTAAGGCTATAGATTGTGCAATAAAAGATTGAACTGACCTTAAATGATGATGAAAGCATTATTGAACAAAATAATTATGCTGTCTTGATATTGATCCAGGTTATCTCTATCCACTCATTTTCCAGTGTACGGTGAGATATCAAGGTAGAAGCAAATAAGGTATGGAGGATTTCCTCTTGATATTTTAGTCTTCGATGGGCTGAAGTCAAACCTAAATTAAAATTTTCTCAACTTAAAAGATCCACTGGCTTCGTAGAAGCCACCCTTGATTGCATTTAATGCAAGGGTAATTTGAGAGGTTGCATGGATCATTTTCCGAAATAGCTACTTTAAAGGCGTTGAAAAGGATCAGAAAGAAAATTTTAAAAAACTCTTCCAAAGCAAGATACTGTAACCATTTTTTCAACATTGTTTTCATAGTCCTATCAATCACACAAATCCCTTCCTACATTTGGCAGAACTCTTTTTTTTCCCTTTTTTTTAGCACCATGCAATATTAGGCGATTTCAAATGCAGCCAACTGTTTTTGCTCTCAAATTAAGCATTATTTAAATTTCTTAAGCTGGGCTTCCCTATTTTTGATGCGGGTTGGAGGGAGGAGGGGGTGTGGTTTCTTAGTCCCAGAGGGTTTCACTGAGCATTATGAGTGGAACATCGTTCAAGAAATTGATCACGATTAAATTAATGGATGTACTTTATAACAATACTTATAACGGGACTTCCCTGGGGTTCTTAGGTACCCGTGTCGCCCCCCCCCCCTCCCCGCCTTTGTTTTAGGTTATAATAAACAGAACGCGGCGTGAAGGTCGATATGACTCTGGTGAGTACCCTTTGTTTGACGCTGTGAGCCTTCTTTGAAAAATCCCGGATACGCCCCTGTTTAAAGCATGGACAAAGTCTCTACGGGAAAAGAATCAAGATAATTCTTTGCGGTATTGACCGAGTGGTAAGAAGGTAAATAAAGCAAGGGCAAAAACGACGGGCGCGAAAGTTACTGGTGAATAAGCTAGAAACTGAGTTTCTGATTGAAGAAATCATGTACACCTCTGAATGAGTATGGATGACGGCAAAGTCTCAGCCTATTCAATTAGAGATATTTTTGAATTGTTACTAAAACATTAGGTAAAGTAAACACAATTTCGCTAAATAGGGTGATTTCCAACTGAGTGTGAAAAGTAATGCTACTTTGCTTTGGTTTTGCCTTACTTCGCAACATGATTGGTGTAGAACTGAAACTCACACCATACTGTAAATCAGCCAGATTGAAAAGTAAATCCAATCGCAATCTTGGTCTCTTGCGTTTTCTCACGCTTTGGGCAAATAACCTGATTTTTACTCCACCTCCTGATTATGCTCCTTAATTTGATTTTGCTTTCAGTTTGGTTTTACAACACTCAACTGAAATACTCTCTAAATGAAAACCCAGTTCACTGGGCATATTTACCAAATAGCACTTCCGTTAAATCACTGAATTGTTCTTCGTCTCGTTTCTGATTCAACACTGTATTATCTTCTCTACAAAGAGTCCTGTTCATTAAATGGCTTTCCGTTTTTCCTCTTATGACTTACACTCCCAGTAGTGCATGTAGCAATACATCGTTGCTTCTCCAGTTGTTAGGGTAGCTTCGCAAGAGCACTTGTAGGTTCTCTTTCCAACTGCGACGATGCTTGATAATTTAGCAACCTTTGCGTCGTTTGTATCACAGTTTACGCCAATAAAGATTTTACCCTGGCAGGAAAAGAACATAATAAATATGATACTGATGATGAAATGTGGATGAGCAAAACATTTCTTTCCTCTTCAATGGGTCTACACACGACGTCGCATCAAACAGAATCAAACAGAATCAAATTTCACAATCTTCAACTAAACTTACGTTTGTTTCCGTCGCCGTAGTTTCTTGTTGGGCGATCGAGCTTGCTGCCGTACCAGTGCTGGTTAAAGTCTTAAAAACACAGGAACTGGCCCCGGGTCCAGGTGGACCCTGGGTACCATTAAACCCAGATGGTCCACGAAGACCCTGAACACCAGGTATTCCAGGCGGTCCTGCATGGCCCTGAGTACCATTATATCCCGGAGGTCCGGGAGGTCCGGCAGGTCCAGCAGGTCCGGCAAGTCCAATGTCACCCTTTGTACCATTATATCCTAGAGGTCCGGCGGGTCCGGCAGGTCCAACGTCTCCATTAGAACCGTTGACTCCAGGTGGTCCTCTGACGCTCGTGCTGCCAGTAGCATTTTTCACCTACTCAATTAAAAAAAGCAACAACAACAATGATATTCACAGTAACCATTACCATGATGATAACAATGAAAATGACGACAATTGTAATGACAATGCCAATTACCGCAATTACAATAAGAATGTCAGTGACAATGACAGTGACAGTGAAAGTGACAGTGACAGAGAAAGTGAAAGTGTCAATGACAATGGAAATGAAATTGTTATTTACAATGACAGTGAAAGTAACAGTGACAGTGACAGTGACAGTGATAGTGAAAATAGAAGTGAAAGTGAAAGTGAAAGGTCAGTCAGAGGTTGATTCGAAATTCAGTACGAAATGGCACCCAATAATACATTCAAGTATATGTACCTTTTGATCCAGTTGCATGATTCTTTTTTGAAAATGCAGAAACCTCTCATTTACGCTTGTATTCAGACCAGTCAAAGTTTGGGCAGCATCCTGTACTACGAGACGGATATCCTCTAGCTCTGTATTTTTGCCCTAAAAAATAAAACGGGCCAAATTATTGTGTTAGAGAATTAGCGGGCCTACAAAAGTTGGTGAAATTAGTAGAGCAGTCCGCGTTTTGCTTTTGAACATCATGATGATGGGGATTGTAACAGTGAGAGATTCAGATAACGAAACTTACCTCGTTTTTCATGTTTTCCATTTTTTTTTCCATCTACCATAAAGTAAGAAACTCATGTTAAACTAAGCGCACCAATAGTGATTTTTTTAATATAGATGGAACTGGAAATGGTTGAATTTAAACTTGCCTTTATCACTAGCTCCTTCAACTCTGCTGAGACCTAACACAAGGAAGAAAAGAAAAGAAAAGACACCATTTAACATTATATCATTTTTTTAATAAATTTTTTATTGTTATTGATGATTTACAATCATTATCATTATTATTATTATTAAGATTAAGATGATCATTACGATTATTAAAGGAGGCGAATGAATGGCAAACTTACGTTTTTCTTGAGTTCTGTTACATCCCCTGAAACCTATAACAATAAAAAAATGCAAATTAATATTCGTGATCAAGATTTTTTGTAGAATAATACTCTCTCCTCATTTCTTGGTCATAATGATTTAATGACGATGATGGCTATATAGGTGCTATTCTTCAAAAAATGGTTCAAAAAATTAGGAGAACGCTGATAATGTCCGTGATAATGACACTTAAGATGACCTATAGCAATGTTTATCATTCTCCCCTAGGCACACAACAGTCTCGGATTAGAAATAAAATTTAGATCACCACACTGCAGAAATTAAAACAGAAGACATGCAGTGTTGTTAACACAAAAACGATGCCTCCAGCCTGCGCCCCAGGGAATTATTAAAGCTCCGTTTACAATATTAAAATATTATTCTGTTCCATTACAATCAACAACAATCAGGGAGTTAAAGTCCTTTTGGGGCTTTTAGTCTTATGTACATATATGTATCCATGTATTTCACATCAGTGCACTTTTGCTTTTAACTGACCACTGCTAATGATTTAGAATTACTCCTACCGAGTAATCTCTTAATGCAGAGAGATTCCAAACCAACTCTTGCATATTCTTTTGAAGTTCTGACATTTCTAGAAAAGGGGAGACAATAAGAAAAACATAGAAAATGTAAACAAAATGAATTGAATTAAAATAGTGTAACAATTTTGAAATAAAAAAAGCATCATTAGCCTTCGAAAAATCTCATGGAAAAAATATCTTGGACCATTGATTAAATGCTGCATTCAGCAAATTTCTGAGGCATACAATTAAAGAAACTAGAGTAATTGAAGCTGATCGATTTTGGTATGTGTGCGGACACGTTTTGGCCGGTTAATCACCACATTTTCTTTCACTTTCGAAGTATGTTGCTATTTCAGTCAAAGTGATAATTGGCGACACTATATAATAAGCTGAGGCTGGGTTTTAAAATAAGAACACATTCAGAAATATTTTGACTGATCTAACCCTCGTGTTGGCCCTTTTTATGATCCAGGCCTTTTGTAAATGGATACTGTAAAGGATATCGACAACTCAAAGCGAGTAAATCATCCCGCGTAGACTAATCCATCTCACTAATCCAAAGCGGCAACGCCCAAATTATACTTTCTGTTAGCACTAATTATATATTTTGTTCAGATAGGAACGATGATGGTGAAGTTCTCCCTACGCAGGCGGAGATGGCGATGATTTTGATCACGGGGTGATGTGAATGCGAAGATGGTTGATCTCGTTCGAAACAGTATGTCTACATGCGAACACGGTATTGCCGGATGTAAGCCAGGCTAAGGGCTGGCACCCTCTCTGCTTTGCCGTTGCTGGCGTTTCTTCTTATCCCCCTCCACGCCTTCTTTTTTCTTTCTTTCATTTTTTTTTCACACTACACATTTTCTGTTAAGATTAAATTTCTCCGCGTAATAAACTAAAGACGGGCCGTGAGAGATTAAGCTACAATGGATTTAACATGCGCAAACCTCAAGTCATAACCCTTTGTTTTACTTGTGTGATATTTCAAAACAAATAAATCTCATGACTATTTGTCGAACATTTTCTTTGTTTGGCTTTCATCCCTCGCGTGTTTGAGATAGCAATAAATATTGCCATTGCACACAATCCCATATATGTGATTTATCAATCCAAGAGTAATGGGTTTTTCAGTTATCTATTTTTCTCTTTTTAAATTGGCGTTTCCATCAAGAATAATTAAATGTGTTTTTAAAGCAATATGCTTGATGTGCCACACTCGTGGATCCTAGTTGTATGTGAGAAAACGAATTTACTGTTAAAGAGATATGTTTTTCAACGCTCAGTTGTCACAACTTAGCCTCATCTAAATATCAAATCATGCAGACATAATAGAATTGCCCATGTTGTTCATGATTACGACTAAGTACCATGATAGACGGATTACCCCTTGTAAGCAATGTCATTTTCTTAGACTTGAAATCCTATACTAAATAAAAATAAAGGTCAAATATTTCAAACTCTGTACGAAATTCTTCAAGAAGTTATTTTTTAATTTGGAGATGCCATAGTAGTTGGTTGATTTGACTAAAAAAATAACGTGGCTTTTATTGACCCAATTTCGTGGAATCTTAATAATAAAAATACTCAAATCATATCGAAAAAGTTTCTCTAATTTTCTCTTCGGACAGGAAATTAAATGGTCGAGACCGAAGTAAATTATTGTTTGCTTTATCGTGTCGTACGCGTTTCACTAATGCCACTTTTAAAATTTCAACCAATCAAGACCCACGAATGTTTACTTACAACAGGAAGGAGCAATGGTAGCTATATACCTGTTGAAACCTCGCTCCGTGTCGTCATGATTGCCACAGCTAAAATCAAAGTGGCAAGGGCTGTTAAGAGCGAAGAAACAGCGATGGCAGATGCGATAAAGAATAATGGGTTATGCTTCACTGTAGCAGAATCTTTATATGGCTGTGTTTCCACGTTTGGTTTTGCCTGTGGAGTGTCCTTTCTGAAAACTACACTGTCTTAGGTTTCGACGTTATCTTCTCGTTTAGATTCCATTTCGAAATAAATGTTCTCCTGCCCGACCTCGATCTTAGTATCCATCATTGGGTGGTATGATTATGCCATTTGTGAAACAGATCCACTTTAGACTCTTCTTGGGGCGAAACGTGTTAAGGCAGACCAAAGAGATGCTGAAATGCGATGCAGAAAGAATTTGTCTCGACGTAGGCTTATAGATTGTACAATAAAGGATTGAACTGACCTTAAATGATGATGAAAGCAGGGAACTGTGGATTGTGTATGTAGATATATGATGTACCGTGTCTGTCTGTTTATGTGAATTATGTTTGTTTATGAAAAATGTATGTAACTTTGAATTAATAAAAATTAATAAAATACAAAAAAAAAATATATTTAACAAAATGATTATGCTGTCTTGATATTGATCCAGGTTATCACTATCCACCCACTTTCCAGTGTACAGTGAGATATCAAGGTGGAAGCAAATGAGGTATAGAGGTTTTCATTTTGATGTTTTAGTCTTCGATGGGCTGAAGTCAAACCAAAATTAAAATTTTCTTGCCTTTAATGATCCACTGGTTTCGTAGAGGCCACCTTTGACTGCATTTAATGCTTAGGTAATTTGAGAGGTGACACGAAACATTTTCCGAAATAGCTACAGTACATGACAGTGTGGCAAAATTGGTGCCTAGCTCGAAATATCGACGATAAAATGGAGTGTTTCACTCTAGGAATTTTGGATAAATAAATGATGATAAGTGTTCGACGAGAATTCATTAATTTATTTGAAATATGCTGTAATTGTCTTGCGTTGTTAAATGGTGTTAAACGATAAAATTACAATTATCGTTAATCTACAATATCGTAAGGGTTTCCTGTATTGGTGTTGGAAAGAAAAGGAATGGAAATATTATTTTATTCTAAGTCATTTAATGTAAATTATAAAAAGGGCAGGTTGATTACTTCGTACTCCTTCTTGGTGGTCTTATCTTAAAGGTTGAGTTTAATCACGTTCTTCTTGTGAGTTTGGCCACGTTCACCTAGCGAGTTTAATAACGTTTTCTTCGTTGTGATCGTGAGGTTGACATGGAACTCGTGATAAGCCGTGTTCTTAAATAAGTTAATTTGTTAGTCCAGGAAGAGTAAATCTCCCTGGTAATAGATCGCGTTCGACACCTTCGTGTTCCCAGAGGTAATTTAAGGGTAAACAGGTGATGTCCCTCATGTTTTCGCAACAAGATGCAATTTGGGGGCGGTACTTGATAGCGCCTTTCTTCTTTAACTCTTGTGACCAAGATGTTGTTATGTAACAATCTTTTAAGGTGATTTTCTCTTAAGATACACTTTTAGGTATAAATAACACTCTACACCAAGGTTATTTGTAATTTTTATGTTGTCGATCTCGTTTCTGTTCTGGCCGATCTCAACCGTAAAGATATGAAAATTAGGGAAGAAATTGATTTTGTAACTGCGTAGACAACCCTAAGGTGCTCACTCAGTATGTGGGAACTATAATACGTAGTCAAGCGTGATTCGCTAGTTGAGATTGGACGATGACGACACAAGAAGATTGACGGCTTAGAAATGTCATCCGCAGTGTCACCTTTAGACCGATAACTATTCTTTAACAAGCCAATGCTTCAGAAAATGTTGCGCAAAAATTAAGCAAAGACTGATTCATTATAAAAAGCTACCTTAAAGGATTGGCGTAGCCTTTTTCGTTGTAAAATGGCAAATGCGTTATACTGTACTTTTTTAAGGAGCATGAGACATCTAAGCCACACGGCCATAAATTAAGAAAATCACTTGTCTTTTTTTTTTCTCAGTCGAATGTTCACTTACAATCATTCTTGCATAGCGTGATATCTTGAAGCCCTTTTCTTTCCCACTTTTTTTTTGTCTTTAGTCTAAATCATGTCTTTTCCCATTATCAGGTTTGCAATTTATGGTGATGATTCTTGTTTTGAGCCCCAAATTCCTAAGTGAGTTGTCTATGCAACGGGTCATAGAGGTGCAAGTCTACCTACCCTGAAGAGCGCCATGATCCGTTGGAAAAGTCGAGGAGGTGTTGAATGCGTGAGACTTCATCATGACCAAAGCTAAAACCAAAGCTGTTATAGCCGTGAGGAAGGCTGTGGTGCCAACTGCAATTGATATGAACAGAAGTCGCCGAGTTACGTCTATATTTGATTGCCAGGCATGTATAGGCTGGGATCGTTCT